GGAGTTTGCATGGAAGAGCTCTTTGTCTCCAAGACTGACAACTTCAATCTCCTGACCTACTTTTGAAGAGGATTGATTTGGACCATAAACTGCCTGTCAAAGATTTTTTAAATGACCCATCCTGTCTATCCGCTCGGCTCTTGAATTCATTCCTCAGAAGTTCAAAAGGGTTCAAATAAAACTGACAAACCCAATACCCTGAGGATATTCTGACTGGTAATTTTGTGTCTAAGGTGTTTACTTGGGGATAAATCAACTGGACTAGGCCAAAGAATTTAAGTTCAACCAGATTGCTTTTCAAAATAACTCCCTTTGGCTGATCAGTGCTTGTCTTGTATACCTGATCCTTAAATACTCTGACATTTTTCCTGGATTTGCCTCATGAATGCCCACTCCAAAGGAACACAGGCATAAAAACCCCCACCACGGATAGGCAGCACCCCTGCAAAGACCTGGGTGTCCCCATATGCTTTAGTCTACTGACAGAAAAGTTCTGCCAAAATCCATGTTGAAAAACAAGTCGTCTAAAAGATAATTTATATTTCCCTGCGAGAAACAAAAATAGAACAGGATATTTCAGGGAATTACTATATTAAAAATTACTAAATAGTGACAAAATCAACACTAAAAAAACAAGTGGTCTAAAAGATAACTTCATTAGGATAAAATTTTAAAAAGGGTTATCTGTGGAAATTACTGGTTTGGAACAATTCCATTGACTTGAACCAAGAGTTAACTAATTTTCAGGTTGCAACAGGAACCACAGCAAGGTGGGAGAAGATGGGCTGTATCGTGGAGGAAAAAACTGCAGGACTGCAGCTTTTGGAGCAGCATTGTTGCAATTATTCTACATCCATATGGAGCACAGGGGCAGCCAAGTCCTCATCATTCAAATGCTGCACCGCAGCTGGCAACCTCAGCTGACAGCTCCAAAACTGCCCTGCACACGTAGTTCTTCCCTCTCTGGTAGGACACAGCGTGACAGCCCTTTGAAACAGCCACTGTCCTCACATGATCTCTGTGCCTTCAGCCTCCGACAAAGCGCAGGACCGCAAACTGCAGCGCCCGAATCCCTGTCTGTAAGAACCTTTTTAATCCAATGCCACGTTTAAAGACAAAACTCTGCCCTAAAGAAGCACCCAGCTGCCTCTCTCTCTCTTTTCACTACTTCTTCCTAATGTCTTTCTCTGAGTGTAACGTTGCTCTAAGGGTCCATCCAGCCCTGCTGTATGAAGTGTGGCTGCACACACTCATGAACCTGAACCATTTCCAGGGGCTTACACAGCCCTGCAGGAGCCTGAAAGGAGCCTCTGCCTGGATTCCCACTTTTCCTTCCTTGCTTTGGGGCAGAAGGAAACTTTACAGCCGTCTTTGAGGAGCCTGATGGCCACAGCCAGGTTCTGTCTCACTGACAATGACTTATTACTGGGAGCTATTTGCTGCTGTTCAGGCAGGATTTTGGACAATTTCATCCTTTTTTTTCCCCTTTTTCCTCTGAAATTGGTGCCTGCATTATTCATCAGGAACCACACTACCTTGGAGCTTCTAGCTTTTGATTTGGCTGTTCAGACCACAAATTACTGTCAAGGACAAAATCTGCTGCTCAGAGCCAGAACTCGTCCTCTGGTCACTGTTCAGCTGCACTGCCTTACCCCTATTCAAGTGGTCTTTGACCCAAATGGCAAAAAGCTGACATCCTTGACGCCTTCCTGCCTGGGTGTCAGGGGTGGGAATGGGATCCTTTCATTTGTGTTACACAGCGATCTTCTGCAAGAGGACTGCAGAAAAACAGGGCTCATCTTTAATCACTGGGCTACACTGCATGAGGTCAGAAACATCTCCTCGATAATTAAAACAATAAACTTGAATATCAGTGACCAGTAGAGACCAAAATGGACAAGAATTATCAAATAATATACCAAATGCTTAGTATCTCACAAAATCAAATAGAAAAAGAGCACTGCGGGGCTTTTTACAGAGCTGTGCATGTGCTGAACTTGGTTCACGAGAACAGTGTCGCTGCTGTGAATGGGACTGTCTGGTTAAGCACACGCACAAGTCTCCCCAAATCCTTGTCAGACACGTTCCTTGGGGCATTAGTACTGAATGCTGCCTTTTAAATGACAGTCTCTCCACATTTCAGAAATGAAATACCCAGTTACAGAACCTGACATTTCAAAAATCAGAAAGCAGACGAGATAGTTACTACATCAATAGGTTTCAAACATATAGAGTGAAAACCACGAGTACTTTTCCCCCCCTCTATTTAAAGTGTATAAATATTTGGTATTTTATCTGTCTCAGAAATATGCAGCTTGGCTCAAATGCTATGCAGACAAATGTGAGTAGCCCCAAGAAGTTGCTCCCCAGCCTGTGGGAGATGCAGATGAGCGGCAGGCCGCTTATCACGGGGGGAATTAACTCAGGTAGGTGCCCCTGACTCCGGGGGTCACCCGCTCCCCTGCCCCTCTCACATTTATCACTGGACACACTTTGCAATTCATGAGTTGAGATGCCTATTCTGATGTGTCAGCGAGAAAATCCTCTGGTGAGAAGCCAGAACGTGCTTGTCTTTCTATGAAACTGGCAGGAAGAGGAATAAATTCCGCAGCTTATCTTGGCACGAGAGCCCTGGGCTGTACTGGCAAGAGATTCCTGCCAGTGAACTGCAGCCCCGGTCTCACACATCTCATCTGCTGCACGGCTGGCACAGCAGCAGGATGGGTCCCATCCAAACCCAACACCAAACCCCTAATTCTCCCAGAGTGTTTGGAAAGAGCTGTAATCATCCCAGTGTACTATTCATCTTCCTGTGTGTTCGTTTCCCTATAGGCAACGTATGTCTCAGGTTTAAAATTACAGCCAGGGTGCTGCAGATATTTTTAACCACCAGATCTCGCTATATGTTAGCCAGAAGAAAAAAAAAAAAAAAAAAAAAGGGGAAAAAGTAACTCCCTGCGTTTCCAAAGTCTGCAGGCTGCATTATAGCTTCAGCTTAGTAATTACAAAGATTTATGTTCCATTCTGCCCCAAATCCAGAGCTCATTGTCCATTCAACTTACGCTGCTTTGACTTACAGTTCTCTGTATCCATTATCTTTAATAATAAAGAGCCGACTAAACTTAATGATTGAAGAGCAAGATGTGATTAGTAATAGGAATCTAATTTATGAGAAAACAAACCAGAGTATGGTTTTCATGTTTCATTAAAATTATCTTAAATGTACTCCTTAATGCTAATTGATCTCACAGAGGTGAGAAAATATTCTGTCCTGAATTAATGGGAGAAAATAATTCATCTTCTTTCTGGAGGGAACATTTAATATCATTCAGTATTTAGAGGGAGATGGCATCTCCACAGTCATTTCACCACTTCAGGTGGTGTTTCAGTGTGGGCACACATCTCAAATCTGTAAGATTTCCCACTGAACAGGGGAAAAAACTCAACAGAATAAACATACAACAAGATGCCATTATATAATGTTTTCTTTTCACAAAAGGTCCTTCCTATCTTTGCAAAATTACCCAAAGCTGAAAAACAGTGCTGATGAGCAAATACAGAGCAGCGTTTTTCCCTGAGTTTATCAAAGGAAAACTCTTTGATGACTCTGTTAATTTGCTGTGAGCAGGAGATTACTGAGACATTTGCAAGATAAAGTTCATCGCAGAATTTATTGAAAACAAAACAAAGCAGAAATCTATTTTTCCACTAAGTATTTTGCTTTTGTTTGTATTTCAGTAATTTTTTTCCCTCTTTTTGAATTATTCATATTCAGATATCAAATATTCTCACAAACCAGTGTGTGTAAGAAAAATGAGTCTTGAATGGCTTCATTTTTAACTCATTGTGCTTTATGCCCAGGATTATTATTATTATTATTAGCTGACCTTCTATTCAGTCTGTTTCTATGATCCATAAATAGAAATTGCCTAATGAGTATCTCAAGTGTTCGTCTGTCATTTTCATGGCAGTTTTTCTCATCCTACGTTTGTACAGATCTGATGACAACACCAATTAATACACAGCAATAGGTCTTTGCCCACTTCCTCGCAGATCCCTTCCATGAATACAACCTTCTCTATTCTGAGCTGGAATCTTGTATCTTTACACAGTTTGAGAAATATAAAGTGTTGTAATACCAACTGAAGGAACAATTTGGGAACTTCAGAAGTTGCTCCATGAGAAATGCCACAACTGCAGCAATAATTATTACATTTTCTGCTGAAACAGAAAAAACTTCCTCCTGTCTTGTTCTCACATCCTACTTGAACAGGATTTGCATGCTTGGTTTGCACAGCAGAGCAGGGGCAAATACACTCTGCAATGCACTCAATCCACAAATACCGATGGCAAAGAATGAAGGTAGAGAAGAACAAAGGAAGAGACACAGAGTTTCTGTCACTGCCTACAGGGTATGTTATGGACACAATAATACATATTCCATGAGGAATCAGCAGGGAGTTCTGGGGGCAGGGAGGCAGATTCCTTCTAGAGGAAGAATAAATATATTACACTTCTATACAGTTCTTGTATTTCTCTCTTCTTGTGTTTCTCCCACGGCACTTTCCCCCCATTTCCTTTGAATGTGACTTCAGGTACACGCCAGGACTTTTGTAAGCAAGCTGACAAAAGAAGCCCAACAAAACTGACCCTGAGCTCCCTGTTTACTGGGTCACAAAGCACAGTGTGCAGCACTGCAGCCTTGCAGACCCAGACCATCAGCTGCTGAAACCACCACCACCTCATCTAGCTGCCTGCGTGTTGGCTGACCTCGGCCCACGTCCGTTAGCTGCACTGGGATGACTCTGTCATTTCAGATGCCAAGGAAGGGATCAGGGTGATATTTTTGGTCAGAAGATAATAGATGTGTCAGTGAACGCTTTATTGCCACATCACCCCTTACCTTCTATTTTGATTTTACCCTGGCTTTCATTTTTCTTACACCATCCACATCACCACTTTGCCCGAATTCAAGAGAGAGCAAGGAAAAGCCTGCTTACCGTTCTGGAATCCCAGAGAGACAAAGTCTTGTCAGCAGAGCTCGTGAGGACAGTGCTGGAGAAGGGAAGGAACTCGATGCTGTTGACGGAATCTTTATGGCCACGCAAGGTGTATCTGCATCTCTCACTGCAAAAGAAAACAACAGAAACACAGCCATTCAGAGTAATAAAAACACTAGATAAGTTTAGGTAAATCCCCAGAACAACTGAACATTGACAGCCATTCATCACCCAAGCACTACACCGCAGAGGCAACAAGAAAACCCAATCAGTTGGTGTTTGCTTCCCAGTAATGAAGGCTGTAGTGAAAGGCAAAAAGAAATGAAGAAGCAGCTTTTAAAAGATTCAGTCCTAAGGAGCCACAATGAAAGCACCATTTGATGTTTCCTGGGTGCATCCTCAAAAACCCCGCTGATGCAGAGTTTAAAGGGAATGTGGATGAAAAGGTAGGATAGGGACAGTACCATTTCTTCTTCAAAGATATCACGTTCCTGAGAAACTTATGGACTGTGCCAACATGCTCCCTGAAGAAAGCCAGAGAGTGCTGGCAATCCTGCTTTTCTCTCAAGGTCTTCACAAAGGTTTCTAGAAACTCAGTGATGCCTGGGAGGGTAAAGTCTTGTCACTGTGGACACACCCAGGAGCCCTTTTCCCTGAACAAGGGGTCTCTTACCATGGATCAAGCACACCAGAAGCCATTGTAAGCTCTCTGTTCCTAAAGCAGATGTGAGGGAACAGAGCTGTACCCCAAGAGTCAGGTACTTACCAGGAACTGACAACAGCTCAGATGGAACTGCTCTGTGAAATGGTTCTGAAAGTTCTTTCTAGGCTGAAGACACCCAACTACTGCACCTTCTCCCGGTCCATCAGCTAGGAAGCAATACCCTAGAGCTTTTTGCTTGCTTTCTTACCTTTTTGTTTTGTTTTCTTTTAATGACCTAATTTCTCAAACAACACCCTTGATCCTTCTCAGTTGAGAGTATGAAGCTGATACATGTGGAACACAAGATGGGAAGCTTCTCCCATCGTAAGCAACAGACACTCAACCACAATGACACCGCTGGGGACAATCTATTCTCTCACAAAACGGCCTATGATCTTGTGAAAGCTTTTTGGGTTTGGTTTTGTTTTCTCTGCGCACACCAGAGTAGAACATTCCTTAAACTGGAGTCCAAGGGAAGAGAAGGAAGAGCCCAAGGATGCCTTACCAGGACAACACAGAAGGCAACAAGCAAATCTGGGATTATTTAAACTGAGCAGAACGGCAAAGGCTTAACGCCTACAGAAGCAGGTCAAGAGGGGAGGCAGTTGATATTGAACTGGTATTAATCAGTCACTATGGCTGCACCCAAGAGTTGCCCACACTGATTCAGGTCTCACTCCATGATTTCCTTATATACATGTGAAAATAAATGTGCAGTGTCTGTATTATATCCTGTGCACATACTGTGGAAAAAACTAATCAATGTAAAGTCAGTAGCAGTTCTAGCCTCTTTGTTCAGCTGAGACAAAAATAGGAGGAAAAAATTAAAGCCAACAACTCATCGTAAATTATTGCGGCTTTCAGTGAGAGCTCAGAATTTTATTCCCTGCTCGTGTGATTGTGACAGTAGAAACACACCTCCCCTGAGCTGGCTGCTGAATATATCATTGGGGCTTGCAAATTAGATTACTGGGTGGCTCTTAACAGAGAAATTTCTTACCAAATTTATTAAGGAAGCTGTCAGAAGGGAGGAATTAAAGATGTGATTTTTTTTTTTTTCTGCCTGTGTGTCACCAGAAGACTCTCGGAGCTCTTGCAGGTTCTGCATCAACAGCACAGATGAGTTTCTAGAGATCAGCTGCAGGCCAGGAGAGCTGCAGGGTTTGGATGGACACCATCCTGATCTCTGGTGTAACACAGACCCTTCTCAGAGCTGCTTTAGTGCTTTCCCATTTCCCAGACTGGAAGCAGACGCTGTGCTGAGCTGAACACCAAGCCTGTCCCCGCAGAAGGGAGGACAGGAGGGAGATAAGAACCTTCTGAGCAGAAATATTATCCAGGATATAGATTTCAAAGAAGTATTAGATTCCACTGGTATCACTGCACAGAATCTATGTTTTTCTATTATAGATAATACATTATACTATCCAGTGTTATCTGCTATACAGCCTACATGTGTTATTTTATCACAGGGACTCATTTTAAACTCGTCATAAAGTATTGTGGCTGTTAGTGCTCCGTGCACAAGATATCTGATATTCACGATCACTTGATATATGACAATAAAGTTACTTCAATAAAGTAATTTTTTTTTGTTGTTTCCCAGACTCGTGGCAATGCTTTACACCAGAGAATATGCCTTTTTCATCTCAGCCCTTACACTTTTATTTGTGTATAGGTATGCCGTTTTTCAAAGGTGCCCCATGATTTCCTGCTTGCCTCTTACACTGTAAAAACTCTGAGCTGCTGAACAGTTTCTGACAAGGAAAATCCTGCTGCGTTTTTTTTGGGCACTTACTAGTTTTGAAAACAGCTTTACATACCCCAGTGTGACAGTTGTTCCACTAGAACCAAAGTGGGGTATTTTCCTGCAATAAAAGCATGCAGTTATGTCCTCTTCAAAGGCTGGGGGAGAGCAGCGGCTTCAACCTGCCTGAGAGGGCTTGGGGTGAAGGAGCACAGGAAAAGGAAAGAGGGGAAAGGGAAGCAGAATATTTTGTTTGTGAGGCACTGGTGTGAGAGATGGACCGTCCCAGGCAGCCAGGCTGCAAGAACAGCCTTGTGAGAGATTAATTAGATGCCAAAGCAGGAAGGCCCATTCAGAATCCCAGAGCAAGGTGAAAATGGACTAAAGTGATGGACCATGACAGCAGCAAAAGAGAAGGAAATGATTTGCACTTTTCCATCAGGAACATAAATGCCCAGACCTGATGCAGCTGCCTGCCTCTCTCCTTGCACTTCCATATCACTGCGTACTGATGAGCGAGCTCTGGCTCTCAAGATTTAATTTACCACTCCGCTAACTGACTGACTGAATATTTCTAAGAACTTTCCTCCAACTGCTACATAAAATAAACTCATCTTTCCTTCCAGCTGAGATATAATTTCAGCAAGACTAGTTTGTATACCAGCTATCTTCTGGTCAGATAGGCCAACAGTTTATTTACATGTTCTTTTTCCATAAAAACAAGTTGATAGGAAGGGGAGAGTATCACCCTGATTTTCATGGGAGCTCATGTTTCTATCCAATGGTTCAAGTTTATCTACACTAAAATAAATCTGCAGCAACATTCACTAAGTTTTTTTTTTTTTCCACTGTGAACACACAGCCTCCTGGATATAAAGCTCACCATCTCTGAACATGCCAGTTCAGAAGACAGAGGGAATCAGCCATGAATAGCAGCTTAGGCATTTGCAGCACTCTTGTTGCCTTTATCCACTGACAGAGTCTCTGAATAAATGGTGCCACAGTAGAAATACTGTTCAGTAGTTCAGTATTTTGCAGATTTTATTCTGAACCTCACCTCCAACGTTCATCCTGTGTTATTACTACTTTTTCAACATAAAATATGAGCTAACACCACGTTTTCTTGGCTCACGATTAATTATCTTCAATGTTCTCTTTTCTCTACAAAGTAAATTCCCTTCCCTTAAATCCAGGTGAGGCAATTATGTCCATCAATAAATCAGCCTTCACTCTACCTCACCAGGTTTGGATTTGTCTTCTCAAACGTGGCTGGATGCTTCTAAAGAAGCACACCTATTCCATCAACGCTGGCATTTCAGTTTAATCACACCATTACTGGTATCACCGGCAAATTTTAACTTCGCTCAGTTTTTAGAGACTTGTGTTTTGAAAATCACATTGCAGAATGGTTCATTCAAATTCCAAAGGGCTTTCAGTAAAACTGCATTGAAAACAGCAGATATGAAACACTTCCACTCACAGAAGACTCCGCTGGATATGACCAGGCTGCCATCTCTCCTCTAATGCACAACAGCAGCCAAAAAATGCACCAGCTAAATATTCCATCAGCTGCACAGGAATTGAAAAGAATATACAGATAGTGGGTGGATTCCTCTTCCCCTGCATCCTTTCCTGGCTGCACAGGGGAGTTAAAACTCAGGAAGGACATCAAGCTGGCACACCCTGATGGGAACACTCCCCAGCTGCCTGGTACCTATTCACTGCTCCAGGTCACCCAGGGCCCAACCTGCACAGGTCAGCACTCACTTCCTGAGCCCACGTTGCCCATTCTTTTGCTATTTAGAAGTGTTTTAAAAAAACACCCAACATCCAGCATACACATGTTGGCACTCCTATGAAATCAGGACAGGCTCTGCCTCCTTTCCTCTTTTTTTTTTTTTTTTCTTTTTGATTTCTTAAAGCATGTGGTTTATAGGTTCAGCTTTGCTGGAAAAATTGGGGGAGTGGAGGGTGATGCCATTTTAGTGATTAGTTAGGTAGTCATAATTACTTCTTTTATTGCTGTGCCATATTAAATCTCAGTTCAAGCATAGTAATTAAAAGCACCTATACAGCCAATCGAAATTAATGAGATTTTAAGCATGTTCTTTGGAGTCAGTGCCTCTACCAACCATCTTTTCACATGCCTTCCAGAGGAATTCATTAAATGCACAGGTACTCCCAAACTGTACTATCTTCCCCCAACAACTGCTTTTCAAACCAGCCCTCAGAACAAAGACTGAACCAAACTCTCCTGTCTGTTGAATAACACTCTTCTGTGTGAGCTGCAATCACCAGCAGGGAAATTGCCACAGAAAATTACACCAGAGGGTCACCTGTGATGAAGGTGGACACAGCACTTCTGAGGAAGTTTTGTAAGGACACACCACAACCTGTCTCCAACCCTGTAATATAACTGTAACAGTTAAAAGGAGAGTATTTTTAACAAAAACAAATATCCTATCACTTTCCCATTATATGGCTTTATCTCTGAATTGTGTTTAAATTAGGCATAGAACTTTCCCAGCCAAGATCAATGGCCAAGCATAGCAAATGGGTTGGCTTAAGACATTAAAATGCCAGTTTGGTTTATGCTGTTATAAATGCATCCTATCATGTCTTTACATTTTATGACCTCTATTTTATTTCTAGGTAGCTTCACATATGACACATCCAA